AGGTGTTCCCCCCCCCCCCAAACCCTACAACATGAGAGAGAGCCTCGTCTTGGATTTAAGTACTGACCCAAAAGCTGCTGCTGTGTGGCCAGGACCAGGCATGCCCTCCACAAAGCACAGTGGGCCAATCCAGGGCATGGAGTGGGTAGTGGGAATGATCCAGCACAGGCACTATTATACATCGCATCCTCTGGGGCCAGGGCCACAGCCTAGGGTGCCCCCCTACTACCCATTAAATTTCTGTGAATGCTCAAGCATAGGTGAGATGGATTAAACGGAATCACCTCCAGCTCTGTACAGGTAGTGTACTTAAACTTGGTTTGGCTTAGTTTTGTTTTCTTATTTCCACAGAACCACACATCCTTCTCTTTAGAAGACCACTTCCGAAAGAACAGCAAAAGTGAAATTTTATTTCTGGAAATCTTCTTTCAAATCTTCTGGAACTTTATGTATATGAGTGTATATATGTTGGTAGTATTCAGTGAATACTTGAAAAATGTATGAAACCTACATCCATACCTGTGCATGAGCTGTATTATTCACAGCAACAGAGCTCAGTCAAATGCAATTCCAAGTAGGCTGCTATGGTGTTCAGACTAATGAAGTTATCTTTTCTTTACTCTTAATATAAGTGCCTATTTGTCTTTTCAATGAACTACTTTGTTTAATAAAGTTTAAATGTTGCATATTGTGTTGTTTATCTTTCTCCAAAGTTCAGTGTGGACTTAAGAAGTATTTAAATACTAAAGGTTTGAGTCTGAAAGAATAAACTGCATTCACTGAATTTCTAAAACCATAGAAAATAATTTTTAGACATTAGTCTAAAGTTATAGTGGGGTGCTAGTCTAAATGTCTTAACCTAATAGGACCTATGCTTGGGGAAGCTCACTAGCCTGCTGATCACCTTGACTTGCATTATTTGGTCTTCTCACACATGCCCTAACATGGGTGGTTTGTCTAAAAAGTGCAGGGAGCACTAAAGAAGCAACGAGCAGCAGCCACTTCACCCATGTCAAATAAGCATCCCAAAACCACACTCTGCAGGCTCATGTATTATATTACAGTTAGCTTACTCTGTTTCAAAGTATTTTATCAGGAAAGTTGCTTTACATACCTGCTTATATCTTTGCTTTAATATAACTTGCAGGAATAATATCTGTGTAAGGACTTAAGTGCATCATACATGTGAAGTCTGGCTCTTAAAACAGTTTTCATGTCACTAACTCTCATTGCCTTTACAAACATCAGTGCCTCTTTGGAAGCACTAGGTTTTCTTCCCAGGGCAATAGCAGAGTGGCTCAAGCAGAGCATCTTGTGGATAGGCCTGTCAGACTTGGTATCTGGCACATGATGGCTGTGATTCCCTCCCAGAAACTGAAATTAGGATTTGAGTACCAGCTGTAGGGATTAGCTCCTCTCTAGCCTAAATTCTGAGACTAGGAGCTGGGATAAACCCTTGCCTTAGTTTTTAACAGGAAAGAGGCAAGAAGCCTTCAGCTGCCTCTGGTCTTGAGCAGTTCTCGCTCTGGGAAGCACGTGCAGAAGGGGTGGGAAGATCTGGTCAAATAAAACAAAACCGTACGAGGCCCTTCAGGGATGGATGAAGGGCCCTCAGTTCCGGTACGTCTTTGGTCACAGCCCAAGAGTCAAGCGCTGGGGGGAGTCCGCACGAGCCCTCTGTGCCCAATACCAGATTTCCAAGCACTTTCCATCTACAGCATCTTTCTCGTCTTCCACACCCGGCCCCAGCCCCCCCGCACAGCCTCAGCGCGGAGCCAAACCCCAGCCACGTGCATCTCTCAGCCCCGCCCCAGCCTCTGGCTCGGCTGCGGGACGTCATCGAACTGCGCCGCGCCGCTGACGTCTTTCTGGCGCGTGGCTGAGGGGCTTCGAGTCGGGGTCGGGGCTGTGCGGGACAGTAAAGGGGACTCACACCTGCCATGTCCTCGCGGGGGCAGTCGGGCCCGGGCAGCCACGCGCAGGTAAGGGAGTGCCGCACTCCCGGGGGCCGGGCAGAGCGGCTCCCGCCCACGGACCCCCGCCCCCCCCTTCTCCCCCTCACCGGCTGCGCGCTGCGTGTCCGGGCGGCGGCGAGGGAAGGGTTAACCCGCCTGCCCTCCCGCCCGCTGCTGCCAGCGCCCGTCCCCCACCCCCGTCCCCTGGGGCGGCAGCCACAAGGGGGGGGACGACATTGTTGCCAGGTCGTAAATACAAAAGTATATATCGGAAGCTCAAAATTGATCGTATTTCCTATAACAATGTCTTACGCTGTAAAATTATGCAAATCAGTATGCAAATAAGTCGTCGGTACTTTATATCGCCACTCCCCAGTGAGTCAGGGAGAACAGGGTCACCAAAACTGAAGAAGCATTTGTTTATTTCGAGGCAAGCAGTCGTAAGAAAGGGCTGGCAGCAAACCCAAAAGTTGGTTAAGACTTTCCGAGAGTGATTTAGGTTTTGCATATGCTGCATCTGTTAGCTGCCTCAAAAATGATCCTACTTTTTGAACACTTTTGCTACTGTAGGTTGTACATTGCACAAGGGTTGAAATTATTGTACAAATACAATAATTATCGGACACCTGGCAGCACCAGGTGGAGAGTGTTTATGCAACACTGGAGCCCAGTGTGGCCGCCCCTGCTCATGACAGGAGCTGGGTACTGCGGGTCTGAGATCTTCCTGGCGGGGCTGTGTCACTTTGCGCTGCCTAATGAGCGCTTCAGGCCACTTTCAGATGCTACGGTGCAGACAGCCCAGGGGTGCAGAGCTCCAGGGGCCACCCACTGTGACCATGTGACAAGGCCTGTAGACTGTTCTCACGCTCCTCTTGTTTGTGGAGCCATGCCCTCATAGTTACACTTCACATACAACATGCTGCAATAATGTGCAGTGCACTGGATGCCCTAGAGACTTCCCAGTGTGGTTTCCAGTCAGGCTGAGTTCTCTCTGACATTCAGGATCAACCCCAAATCAGAAGTAATTTTACTATTGCTGCTCTGTGCTAACCTCATCAGACCAGTAACTAAGTATTGACTTCAACATAACGTAGAGTTGTTATGTTCAAATAAGCATAAATGTTTCATGTCCTAGTTTTCATTGTTACATTCACATCTTATTTCAAAACAGCCAGGATAAGCATGAGAGCAACTAGGTAAAGCTTCCTGACTAGCTCATGAATGAAAGAGAAAATGGTTATCTGCATTGTGTATTGGGTTACCCCAGGGCTGCTCAAACCTTCAGCTCAGAGGCCAAATGTGTCTTGCAGAGCAATGGCATCCAGGTCACTGGACTCCCCATAAGTTGGGGAATTTGCGGGCAGGAGAGTAGTAGCCATTAATACTGCCACGCTGCCCTGCTGCCAAATTCCCAAGCAGCAGATCAGAGCCAGGCCATGCCTCACCCCCCACTCCCAAAGGGCTGAGTATGGGCTGGGCCATGGCCATTGGCCCCCCACTGCCTCCTGTGCCAGTTTGGGGCCAGGCTATCTCCTGCTCCTTCTCCATATGGCCAAATGGAGCCCTGCTGTGCCAGCCCCGGGTGCCAGATTAGGACCACCAGCTGCATCTGACTTGCAGACGGACCAGGCATTGCCCATCCTGCCCGCTGGGCAAAAAGGTTGAGCACCACCGGGTTATGCAAACCTCTCTAGTAAATTCCCAGTTTTCCTAGTGTTCGCTTAACCACCAGAGGGCATACTTAGTCCAATAAATTTATGTACATACTTGATCCAGTGTTGATCAAACGTTTTACAAGCAAAGTTTAATGTGCTCTTGCATGCATACAGTAATTAATTAAAATTATGTTTTTAACTGCTTAAATAATGAGAACAAAAAATGACTTTTTCCCATAGTATCTCAGTTGTAAAGAGATATATAAACAGTTATGTTAGTATAAACAGCGTCTGTTAAAATAAGTTATTCAATACTTTACTTCCTCCACGCTCAAACTGGTGTGCCACAGGTAATGCCATCATAAATGCATGCTGGACCTAATTTGAAGCTTCTTCACAAACGTATGTCCTGTTGATGCTGATGGAACTCCAGAAGAAGTGCAGAATCATGAATGTTATTATCAGTAAATTAGTGCTTTGAAAGCCACATTAAAAACCAGTGCAACTCTCAGATTTGATCCAACTTTAAAAACACACTGATCGCTGTAGTTGCTACGAGTGTAGATATGTTTCTTACTGTATTGCTAATCATGTGCTGGGAAGACTCCAAAGAAAGTGACTGATCTTAAAACTGAATGATTCATATTAATTATTTTACTCTTGTATGTTAAATACACTCCTAGCATTTCTGATATGTAGCCAGCATGCTCTAGTGCACAGGGTCATGTCATCCAGCCCGCAGGGCTCCCATCAAGTCCAGGAATTTGGCAGTGGGAAAGCTGCAATTAATGCTGCCACTACTCAACTGCCTCAACCTTTTAGACCTGTGGGAAGACCCACAGGCTGAATGACATGACCTCAGGGCTGGATCTGGTCCCCAGGCCTGAGTTTGAGCACCTCTGTTTTACAGCAATCAAATCTTCCTTGGTGTTTGTTCCCCGCCCCCCTCCTCCCCCTCCATCCCCATACTTTCAATCCTTTCTTGAGAACTTTGTTGTTTTCCACCTATTTTATTAGTGATAGTGAACAAACTAACTGTTTTCTGAGTTAGTTTGAGATGAGGTTTTTTTGCTTATTTTATTAATCTCAAAATGCATGTAGCCAAAAACCCTTTTGTTTCTCAGGGCATCAAGTTATCAGCAGAGGTCAAACCGTTTGTCCCAAAATATGCGACGGTAACAGTGGCATGGTCAGAACCCTCAGAAGCATGTGTCTTGCCTAGGTACTTAACTACATGCTACCCATTTGTTCAGGAGCCATCTATGGATAAGTATGTATTTTTTTCTGAATCTTGTTTCTTGGGGGATTTTAGCCTTCTGGTTTCTTGACTTTTAATACTTCTAGTTAAATTAGAAGGACTAATTAACATATGAATACTAATTAAATTAGAAGCTCTGGTGCTATAGCATTTCAAACTGTAGAAGCGATTGTTTAGTGCAATTTAATGGTGTAGACTTTTGCATTTCTATCAGAGGCTTATAAGTTTGGTACAGTACATTCCACTTACATGCCTACCAGATAAGGGTGCAATTTGGCTAATTGAAGAACACAGTGCCAGTTTTCTGGTTATAGTTTAAAAGCTGCTACTACAGACTTTGGAGAATGAGGAGAGCTAGTCAGTTTTGGGGCTGTTAATACCATAGCACTAACAGGACTGCTGATAACATTTATAATGTTGTCAGCGCTGGGGTATTAGCAGCTATGAAATTAACTGGCTCCCTTCATTTACAAGGCTGCTGATAGGAAGCCAAGGAGGGGAGCTAGTTATCGCTGATAGTGCAGTGTTCATAAGAAGTAATATTTATATTGCAGTCAGAGAAGTGCATAGTCTGGGTAATGGCATAGCCTTTTCTGGTCTTAGGACTGTATCCTTACACAGGATGTACTTCCAAGGGCCTGACATTCTTGTGGAGCATGACAGAGAAAGGAGGAATCTTGTTCCATTGAAGTGACTTCTCTACTTGGTTCAGTTGTGCTCTCTGGCTCTGGAAGGCCTAATCTACACTACGGTTTTCCTGGCAGGACTCAGTTTTGAGTGCATGTATAGTGGCCTTTGTGGCAGCAGAATTCTCCAGCCTACAGGCGTTTATTCTAACTGCCTAGTAGAGCAAGGCTTCTGGCATCCAGCCTGAAGGTGCATGATGATATTCCTGTGCCTGCAGCTGGTTACTGTTCTGTTCAGCAACTGGTGTCCTTGCACAGGGTTTTTTGATCTCTGATGGCATAGCTGCTGTTGTGCAGTTGCACGGAGCTGCCAGGTTATTTGAATGTTCATGTGCTCTAGTCCAGGGGTCAGCAACATACAGCCTTCGGATCTGGCCTGTGGGGCTGAAGGGCTTTGCCAGTGCCTGTGCCCAAGCTGGGGCTGGGTAGCAAGCCTCTGTACAAGGGCTAGGCAGCTGGAAGCTGCACCTGTGTCACTTCTCCCTGCCTTCCCTTCTGCCTCCCAAACTGGCATGGGCATATCTTCCGGCTGCTGTGGATCTGCTCCAGGGCTGGACAGCTTCCTGCTGCATCCATGCCCAAGCCAGGAGGCTGGGGTGGTGGGGTGGGGAGAAGCAACAGCAGCGCAGACTCAGCTGCCAGATGCCTGGCCCTGGTGTAGCTCCTTACCAGATGAAAATTGTGCCAGTGCCACAGCCAGGGAGCAGGGGCCAAGGAGAATTGATGGCAGTGTGGGCACAGCTCCCAGTTGTTTGGCTGGCATGGGTGCAGGCAGAATCCCCTGTCACTGATACACCACCAAAGCCTTTTGGCCTGTGTTGGACTGGAGCCAGGTTGTTCCAGCCCATAGCTTGTAAAGGTTGCTGGCCCCTGCCCTAGTGGCTTGATAGTAGTGACTGCTCACTGTTGTCAGAATTTCTAGTGTCAGAGGCATCTTAGTGAAGATGTAGTGTGAGTCCTTAGGTGGTAGAATGGCCACCATGAATATGGCTGGGAGAAATAATGGGTACTTGTAATGAGGAGCTATAGAGGAACCTCTCTTTGGGTGAATGCTTACTATAAAGTGAGCATCCATTGTCTAATAAAGAGACTTAAAGGTCCTTAATTTTTTGGCAAAACATTGTTTATAAGGTGAAATTAGTAAGAATAGTATCAAGAATATACATTGAATAGTCCTGTTTTTTATTCAGGTGTAGAAATCTAGAAATAAAGCACTATATTTTTGTTTTAACATGCATTAGGATAAGAATTACTGTACTTACTCCCATGCCACATGCAGTTATCCTCAAAAATCAGACCTCCAAAATTTGGGTTTGTGTCTTAAGTGAGGAGGCTGATTTTTTTTCTTCACTGAAGTGGGGGAATGAAAGTGCAGAGTCACTGTAATGACTGCTTTGCTTGTCTCCCTGCAGGCCCCATGTAGGAAAAAGGAGGTTCAGAGCTACAGCTTTAACCTTCTCACAGCTCCTGCTAAATTGACAGGGGCTTTTGGCTGAGGAAAAACTTTACAGCAACTACAAGAGGGTTAAAACTCTAGCTTTTGCTAATGCTGAAGAGTAGGGGTGCACTGATAAAGATTTTCTGGTCTGATACCGATAGCCGATTATTAACCAGCCATATTGGCTAATACCGATCCAATTGCCAATACATAGCTGGGCAGC